CTATCAAGATTATACAGCGCCTTCTTACAGCGGGCAAAGTATGGCATAACAGTATTAGTTAGTGAGAATCCTTTGAACAGACTGCTTATTTCTTTAAGAAGTTTGAAAACTTCACCCAGGAAACTCAGGTTAAAGTTTTAGCTATTACTTTTGTTTACATCAGAATTACTTGGTTTTGATGATTGTCTATTAGCCTTGCTGCCGTTTTGGGTAATATTTGGATAAGAGATGCATTAGTGACCGAGAATATTTAGTTTCTATGGATTTCGTAATTACATTTTTGTCATTATTCGAGTGAAGATTAGCATTTTTTTGTTAGGTTTAGGGAACTTGGAACAATTCCTGAAATTGGTGGTATGTCTCCCTTCCAAATTGCAGCACTTTACTACATCGAGTCTCTTAGCTATGTATTCAAAAGTCTTATAATTGCCAGCACACTTGACGCAACGCGCTGTGAGTTTGCAATTAACCGAATTGTGATCGAAGTGCTGGCAGTTATAACACTGCACAACACTTCCATTCCGTTAGATGTCGACAATCCTACCAGAAAAGTAACAAGATGGGTCCTCCATTTTGTTCCTACCCTGGAACATGGCTGTTTGTATTTGGATGCAGTTGGGCAAGGGGACCCAGGGTAGTTCACTGTATAGCTGTGCATTTGTTATTTTTCCTCACTTTAAATCTAATTAAATAGTTCATCGTGAATGTCATCAATGGGACAATCTATCGGAAGACCTCTTACGACTACCTTTACTGGCTGTTCATAATTCTTTGTGATGAGATAGTGATCCACTTTTAGTTGGTGTAAATAATTACTGATACCTCTGTGATCATCTTCCTCGTTTAGGGAAGATTTTCAGGAATTCTCCTCAAACCTTACCCGCGAAGTTTAATTCACTTTTCTGTCTAATTTTTTTCAGAAATTCTGAGCATTTGATATCAGGCTTAGCCATTATGGGCTTAATTTTTGGAGCGACAATCAATAATTTCTGTTTCCATAACATTTTCTTTATTATCTGCAACATCTTTGGGTAAATTGTCGAATTTATTGCGGGATTTCAACATTACTTTTGATTAGCTTAGATGGTCGGGCCGTTCTTTTTTGGACGTCATCAGCATATAAATATTGTATTATGGGGCGTTTGCTTGATTTTTTGGACGCCGTTTAGGCAAAGGGGTTCTGGAAGTCACAGTATTTACATCAGTATCAGAAATTGCTGTGTTGAGAATACATTTTTCATTCGTAATCATAATACATTCATGATCCATAATTTTAGTATCATTAGAACTAGCATTATTAATGGGGTTTCCATCAGTCGGAGATACATTATTAGGCATAGCATGCAATTGTATTTCACCAAATACTTTGCACTTACCTTCGAATAATGTGAGTAATCGTTCGCAGATTGCTCTTTTCCTTTTGTAGTGGTCCATGCTAGCAGGCATTAAGCCTGGTTTGCAAACAGCGAACACACCATCTAGGGTTTGATATTCAGTACGGATTATGGTCACATAATTCAGAATTTTCAAATATTCCTAATGATTAATCTTATCTTTTAGCAGTATTACATTCCATCCCTTATCTAATTTTTCGTCCACGAATTTCGCCAGTTCGTCCGGAAATCCCGCCACGAGGTGACGAGCAACTGCTCTAGTATCATCCGAGGTTAATGGGGTTAATTCCTTACCCGCCATTTGAAATAATCCAAGGGAAGCACTTATAAGCTCATCACAACTCAAGAAAACACCATAAAAAGCCGAATCATATATTAAATAATCCAAATGTAATCAGATTTTCGAAGAGCACGAGGCTTTTGCGTCTTTGCAATATCAAATTTTCTACTCGAGTCAAAAAACCAGTGATCAGCGAAAGTTGGAGTTGGAGACAACGGGCAAAAAAACACAGCGAGTGCAAAGCAAGACATCAGTCTACTCTGTCTGTCTGTCTTATCGCTGTTCTATCGTAAATTTCTTTTGCGAAAGAAGTGTTATTTGCATTTAGCCTTTGTAGTTAAAATTATTATTAACTCGCCGTGGAAATCTGAAGCATCATTTTTCGTTTAGAAGCTGGAAAACAATATAAATGTTTGATTTGTGTGTGTAATTTTGAAATTAGGAGTAAGCAGTTTTCTGTCCAGCACTATAATAGCACTTTTAAATGAGTAAATTTTGAGCACTGTCTGACAACTCTAGAAAAATCAAAACATCACGTAATCATAATGTAATATGTATGATATAGTCGCATAAATTTATAATTAAACGTGGACGGATTCTTGTGCAAGAAATGCTATTTGTGTAAAATATAACGAATGAATTTTAAGTGATGTGTTTCTGAAAAATCAAGGAAAGCTTATATAATGCAATAGACTATTGTCACGCATAGTATATATTAATTAATTTTATGAAGATAATCGTATGTGTATTTGTGAAAGACAGCGAAAACTAGCATGAAATATCCAAGAACTTGCTTTGGTAAAATTTCGGTTAAGAATTCCAATGACTGCAGCAAGTTATATAGCATCAGATTTTAAAGTTTTCTATTTAGACAAGAAGCTTCATATTTACCGAGTATGTAAATCCTTTGGAAGAAAAAAAAAAAGCTTATGGATCCTCATAAATTGGAAAAATTAAAAGAAATTTTTAAAGAGGTTATCAGTATCTATGCAAGAGGGAAACCTTACATTTGTGAACTATGTAATAGGTCATTTAGGCATGAGAATAGTTTAAAGGACCATGAAGTTGTTCATACAAATGGGACACTTCAGTGTGAAGTATGTAATAAGTCATTTAGTCGTAAGTCTACTTTAAAAGTGCATGCAAATATTCATACAAGAGTGAAACGTTATACATGTCAGATATGTAACAAATCATTCATACACAAGAGTACATTAAACAATCATATGGTTGTTCACAGAGCGGAGAAACCTCACATGTGTGAAATATGTAAGAAGTCATTTAACCGAAAGGGTAATTTACTTAGGCATATTTTTATTCACATAGGAGAGAAACCATATATGTGCGAAGTATGTAATGTATCATTTTCTGATGAGAGTCATTTAAAGCAGCATAGGCGTCGTCATACTGGAGAAAAGCCTCATGTGTGTGATGTATGTAATAAGCCATATTGTAGAAAAAGTAATTTAAAGACACATATGCGTATTCACACAGGAGAGGAACCTTATGTGTGTGAAATTTGTACTATGTCATTCAGACAAAAATGTCTTTTAACTGAGCATAGGCTAATTCATGGAGGACTGGAACCTACTGTGTGAAATGTGAACAAATACTTAAGTCATGAGTCATTTCCTTATTTATGCAATCGAGAAACCTCATATGTGTGAAGTGTATAAATATTAGTGTTGTTTAACCTTTTTGATAGTTATCATCGAGCTCAGTTTGGATTCCAATTATGCAGTGCAGTGTGCACAAACAAACGTGGCTCGCATTGCAAATTTAAGACTGACATACATGGTGCCTATTTGGGAAGAAAGAATTGCCATATCTTGCTACAGTTTATGCACACAGTTTCAGACTGTTTGACTGCTGTTGCCATAACCACTTTATACAGTTTATTATCTTCAAGCAGAGCCAAACAAGTTTTTTTTTTTTTTAATTTCCCTCATGACTGCATGTAAATGAAATTTAAGACATTATTACATACCAGTCACTTTATTGCCTACCAAAATACACTTAGATAATGATAAACATGTTACTGCATTAATATACATCTGATACGGAAGTTCTGAAGTGTGGCTAAGTGTTTCACCATGTGTAATCACCATATGTAGTCTTTAACTTGTAAGTGTATTGACTTAAATGCAGCTTATTCCGAGTTTAATGCATAGTCCAATCACAGCCTTGCTGTTAGTGATATAAATGTATTCCTGATGGCTGTCATGAAGTAATGCATTATTTCCACTCATTGTAATGAAATACTAAAGACTCTGAAATGGCAACATGAGGATGAAACTTGCATTATGTTCATAAAACAGTACAGGATTTACCATATCTGATACTGAGAAAGAAAAATAGATGTCTGAAACGGAAGTTTTCAATCCAATCTTGCACGTACTGATACTGCAGGGGAGCTCCATCTGTATATCCAAGTGGATAAAAAAATTTGGAATATTGGGAAACATAATTTCTGTGCAGGTAAGAAAGCTAAGTCTGCTAGATAATATTCAGAATTATTTTTTTGCTACTTTTCCGTTTTGCCGGCGCAAATGATAATGTCGCCAACAATGGTACAGCTGATGCCAAACGAAATATCTTCGCTAGTAACCTTTTATGCCTCATTTTCCAGATTCTTTCAATATTGGCATAAAATTACATATTTTAAGCCCAAAGACCATTTGTAGTAATTAAGTCAATTAGAATGCAATCACACCGCTCACCCGAAGGTAAAAATATAGAAAAGGTAAAGTCAAGGATTAAATTCATCATTCTAATAATCACTAGCGAGTACAGCACGCGGTTTTACATAATTTTGTAAACTTTCGTACGATTGAAATAATTCTTGCATTTAAACTTGATTCAATTAAGATTAACTTGAAATTAATGAGACAACTGCTAGACTAGATTTTTGTAGCGTATACATGAATGAGATCATGCGGATCCGGATACGATTGGTGAATCAGGATGTTAACCGTGAAAGCATAGTAAATTCTTAATGTCTTTTCAAATTATTGTCTATCTATGGCTTTTTTAAAAAATTTTAAACCAATTAGTTATGCCTGAAATAAAAAATTCTGGTTAATCTATTAGAACTGCGGTTTATTGGCGAAAATTCTGAACAACCCTGCTACAGCACCTGTAGTTGTTTTGGACGCCATTGTTTTCACGAAGTAAAGGATTTTTTTTTCACTAACAGTTTTCCAACAACTGCAGCGAATTACGCTTATACTAGACTTTTAGGAACAAACCGCTTATCATATAAAGATAGGTAGAAATTGGAGAAAGTCAGATGACCCACGCTTGCAGCTTTTTAGAATTTCACATCACGGTATCTCCATGTCACGTAACCTATTTCACTTAAAAATTCCCAGAATCCAAAAAAAAATACATTGTGACACTGTTACTTTCCATGTACACTGCTAAACCTAGCTAGTAACCTCATCGCCTTCCAAAATGTCGCCAAACTCCTGTCCATATTCCAAGATTAGGCCATCAAACATCATAAACGAGATTTTGTGAAAAATTCTAACAGTCATTGGAATTCATAGTTGGAGTATAAGCCTGAACGTGTAGTTCAGGCGGCATATGGGAGTTTTTGTGGTTTTTCGTACTGTAATGACTGAGCAGTTCTCTTAAAAAGTATTTTAAGATCCTCTTCTTTATATTTATTCTATTTATTCTCTCATTTTCTTGTTTCTTAATCTAAATCTTGCTTCTGAATGAAGAAGTGTGCATCTAAGTCAAAAATGGGTTGATTATTGACTTAAATTTTACATTGATCTTAATTTATCAAAGTTATCTTTCACAAGTGGTGACTAGTGTAAGACAAATGTGCTTTGTTCTGTACATCTAACTTTAAAGAGAATAAAGTATCTTAAAAGATATATCTAACTTATAATAAAACCTTTAAGACATGAAATCAGTATCTAAGTGTCAAATTTTATATATAAATTGTACTCTTCTTTTATTATAGAATTTATACAAAAATTCATGGCTGATCTTAAATATGGGTAACTGTTTGCGCATTTTGGAGGCGAAAGGTTACCTGGCTTTGGTCTAATGTGCGCAGCACTCATTCCGATTACGCATTTTTGGGACGGAATGAGAGATCATGGATATGTCATTCTATTATGCGAATTGGTTTTTAATCGAAAAAGGGGGTAATCGGGAAAATCTGAAATTTTGTATTTGCTTTATCTGTGTTGTGTGAACAGTGTTTGTTAATTTTTGGATCCCATGGCCCTAACTAAATGATTCGATGGTATTTTGTGGATTGAAGGGGTAGTAATAATTTTACTTTAAGTTGTGAGATATAATAGAGATGTTTTATTAAGTTATTTAAGTTACCTGTACCTTGCCCTGTGAACTATAATATGATTTAAGATCCTGAAACCGGCGCACATATGCTTGCTTTTTTTTTTACGAGAAATAATAAATTTATCGAACCGTATCAGAGCTGAAGAATATAGGTAAGTTAGTATTTTATTATTTGGGATATATTTTTATGCATTGGTTTTAAATGTAAGGTGGAAGTAAGTAATGTGTATTATTTGGAAAATTGTTATTAACAATGATTTAGTTTAAATTAATTAGATGTAAGCCATTTTATTAATTTATGTATGTTCTTTTTATTTTTAAAGATGTTTTTGATTTAATTATATTTTAATTAAATGATAGTTTATTTTGTGAATTTTATTTTGGAATTTGGTATACTCAGTTGAAGTAAACGTGCATGTAAATATTTAAATATTTGACACAAGTATGTGTAACCATTTGTAATGGTTTGCTTATGATTCGTGTGACGTTATAAGATAATAGAAAGTTTAGAGGTAAAAGTTTTTGATATTTTATTTATTTTATACGGAATGTTCATCTTTGAAGGGTATGTCTTTTTTCGCGATCAGGTAATTTTCATATATGTGCTTTTTTACAAGTTTAAAGATTCAAAATTTTTTTTCATTTCATATGCAATTTTGTAATTTAGAAGAAATACAATCAGATGGCTAAAGTTAAGAGAGTGTGCATGCCTTTTTGTGCATTCTGGATGTTTTTTTAAGTAAATACGTCGATGTGTAAATGGTTTATGTAGTGCTATTTTGAAAAACGTGCAAGGAGTTTTGCGATTGTGCACTTTTTCCCAATTTTTGCCGATAAATTGTCATTATTAAGCATTTTGTTACATAAAATTTAGCATAAGTTACTTCAACTAGTAAATTGTTGAAAAGTGTCAGTACTAAAAAAAAGAAACTGTCTTTATTCGTGAGACAAAATGGTGGCGAAAAAAATAGAGGTTGCTTAGCAGGTTGGTCTCTAATTTTCGCCAGTTACCATAATCCAATATCCACCAATTTGTAGTACTCCTCTTTATATGATTTAAAAAAAATTCCTCGTCATCATAATTCGCTTCTGATAGCGAGCAAGTGACACAGAGGTTATGAAAAGAAAAAATTTCAATTGACAAATTACTCGGTATTCTTGGCACAGCAATTATAGGTCTTGAACAGCGGAACTTTGTAACTGAACAAGAAATTATGTCTGTTTATAGAATTAAAGAGAAAGTATTATCACATAAAAAACGAAGCAACTTAAACAACTTACATTGAAAGAAATGTTTAATAAAGTAAAATTTGCTGCTAATCCAAGGGGCACCCAATTCATTTTTTATAGTCAGACAAAAAGTAAAAATGTTATAAAAGCAATAATGAAAACCTCATTTTGCTGTATGAATTCACACAATTACACATCCATACAATTTACATAAGAAAAGTTTATCGGACACGTAATCAAGATTCTGAAAGATTAGGTATTAGTATTTTTAATTATTTGAGGATATTTTTTTATGCATTGTTTTAAATGTAAGGTGGAAGTAAAGTAATTTGTATTATTGGAAATTGTTATTAGCAAGATTTAGTTTTAAAGTAATTAGGATTGTAACTAATTTTATTAATTTAATGTATGTGCTTATTTATATTTTAAGTAGTGTTTTTTGAATTTAATTATATTTTAATTAATGATAGTTATTTTGTGAATTTATGTCTGTAGGAATTTGTATACGTTTTATTGAAGTAAGCGTTCTGGGAATAATTTAAATATTTGACTAGTATTTGTAATGCTTGCGTATGATTCGTTGGTGACATTTATAATATATATGATTTAGAGGTAAAAGTTTTTGGATTTTTATTTATTTTATATGTGGAAATGTTCATATTTGAAAGGGTATGTACTTTTCGTTATCAGGTAATTTCATATATTTCTTTTTACTGGGTTTAAAGATTCAAAAATTGTCATGTATTTTCGTGAAATTTTTCTAATTTATGAAAAAAAGCATGTACATGGATATAGTGAGAGTGTGTGCAATGCCATTTTTGTGTATTCTGGGATGTTTTTTTTAGTAAAAATATCGACATGTACATTTTATGTGTATGTGTTATTTTGAAAAACGCTAAGAGTATGGTATTGTCACTTTTTCCCAATTTTGCATGAATATTTGTCATTAAGCAGTTTTTTAGATAAAATTCTAGCATAAGATGTAATTCGGCTAATGATTTGGAAGAAGTGTTCAGTAGATAAAAAGAAAAAACATGTCTTTACTTTTGAACAAAATGGCGGGGAAAAAAAAAAGAGGGTTCTGTAGGAGTTGGTCGCCAAATTTTCGCCAAAAAATCGCCAAGTTACGTAATCTAAAGATCAACCAAATTCAATTTGTTAGATAAAAGTTTAAGTAATTAGAAAATTGGCTAAAATTTAAAATAAAAAGTCGGCTTTTAAGTCAACATACTTAATAAAGTAATATACTCATGAAGGTTTTCATATACAGCTATTAGTTGTAAGATTTACAAAATTTGAGAACTGTAAATTACAAGCAATATTCCATAATCTAAGCACATTATATTTTTATAGTCAGTCAAATTATAAAAATGTTATAAAACAATAATTTGGTTGATTTTAACCTATGATTCAGCAATTCACATCCCTATTTCTAATTATGAGGCAAAAAAGTATTTTTAGACCATTGTAATTTTGATCTTCTTAGCAAAGAAAACACAATGAGTTTACCTGCTACGAAAATGTGTTTTTTTTTTTTTTTTCTTGGGGGGTGGAGTTTATAATAATATACAGAGTTGACATATGAAAAAAATGTCAGACTCGTGATGTAATATAAAAGCATCAGTTTAACTATCAAATTTTAGTTTTTTAAAAAATATTTTAAATGTTGTGCTTTCCTAACACAAATGTAACTTGAAGAAAAACATGCAATTTTTGCTGCGGTGCTTCTTAGTTTTTGTAATAAATCATAATTCTAGCCGGAACGCTCTGAATAAGAAGACTTGCGGCACTTCCTTTATGTAATTGAATAACAATTACATTAGAAATTTTATCTCGAGAATTTTATTAAAAATTGCTTTTTAAATTTCAATTTATCTCTGTACATTTTATTTAATTACTTCAGTCTTTAAGTATTTGAATAAATAATAATG